TGCACATCTGTTCTGTAACTGAAGAGCACTTGCATAAGTGTGTCATGCTAGTTGAAATATGGAGATTATATGCTGCAGTATCAAAGTTTAAGTCTCACTAGGGGTGCGAAGTCGAAACTGAAGCCTACCCTCGCCTAGAAGAGAATAAATTTTCTAAGGAAATGCTATGCAAGACTTTATTGGAAGGTAGGTGCTAATAATATCATTTTGGGAAAATTCAAATATCAGCTCTCTCTCTCTCAAATTTTCCAATCAGTTGCTCATTTGCTATGCTGAAATAATCAAGTTACTAGTGTGGCTTAACACTCAAGTATCCTCAAGTTTTTGCTGAAAAAAATTTTTTTAAATCTGGTTTGTGTATTAAACTTTACTAATGCTGGTCTATTTTTGATGATTTTTTCGATTTAATCATCTTTATATCAGATTATCAATATTTCATCGCTAATACCAATAGAGTTAATTGAGCTCACATTGCCTGTTATCCTATGTCTACTAACCATCCTTTTTCAATATAACTATCTTATTCACCTCTCTTTTATTTAGGGACGCCTTATTTGTCTTCGCACGATGGTTGAATGATGATATTTTAGTTACCTGTTGGATGGACAGAATTCAAACCAAGGCCTGGTTCACAGCTTCAAGCTGGCCACATAAAACATCTTGGGTGGTAAATCTCCTTCAAGTTCCCACCGTGTTAATTTTATTATTTAAATGAGTTTTTTTTACTATCAAATAAATACGGAAATCACTAATAAAATGCTGAGACATTTTTACGACTCAATCTATATACAAATACAGATATTTTCGATACACTATTATATCTTACGTGCGACAGTCGACCAAATAGAAAGTGTCCTATAAGTGGACCTTGATCGATATAAAACTACATGTACTGATGTTAACTTGCCCGATACATGTATCATTTGTTAAAATAGTAAAAGCATGGAATTTTAGCCTAAAAATAGTAGAAGTTGCAACAACAATAAAATTTTGCTAAGAAAGCTAGGTTTTTGCCAATTCCTATGCATATAAATATTATTGTCCCAATGAACAGGCAAGAAGTAAAATATTGCGTTTTTAAGCTATTTTCCGTTACATTTTGTGCTAGTATTAGAGTATTGAATTCATGTATTTTTATTTGATTAATTCTAATGGCTGTACTATGCCTCCATTTATCACTTGTCTGCTCAAACCATAAAATTGATTCATTAATAATATCTATAGAGTATATAAAAACGAGTATTTCGTAAGTAATTTGTCGCTTAAGAAGCTTATCTTAATATGCTAGTCTATAAAGTGGCAAGTATGAGTGACTGAAAGCGCAGTAAGGATCTTTTGTGGTTTCTTAATTTAGTATTACTGTAGCAGTAAATTTCTTGATTATGCGGTCGGCAACTAATTTCAAAATCAAAAAAAGCATAAAAAAGTGTAATGCGGTAAGCAGAAATAAATCTGTCCAATAGGTATTATAATTTATAATTGGTGCATAATAATTGAGTATATTTCTATGATACATTTCTCTCCATAAATTGAGGTTAATGTACTAATAAATCTAGTCTGTAGGTTATTAGCTTCGACTTTAGCCTTAAACGACTATCTTAGATATTTAGTTTCAGAAAGAAGTAGGTTGACCCGGTTTTCGCTACTTGCTCGTATTGGCACGGCGACCCATATGAATGAATCTTTTCCGGCAAATTCGCCATGATATCCATGATACTTTCCAGCGTCTGACCGTGTACTTGTTACAGTACCAGAGGTTTCGCTGTCACCGTAATAGGCATCTTAAATGTATCTTGCTAGTCTTTGCTCCATTCTACGACCAATCATCTCCTATAAACCTATTCACTATTACAAACGAAGTAAACACGCATATGCACAATTATAGGAGATCGCGACCATTCTGAAGGCCACACCATTTTAGCTTTCACCTTTGGTTTAAGATAACTTGTTAAGTAGCCAAATATTTATAATCGACGCTTTTTTCACCATAATTACTACATTTTTATAGCGTTGAAAATGCATAGAGAAGGTATCACAATTCATTGCAAAATTTGAATTTATAGTAACTATATTAAAATATGGTTATATTAATGATGATTTTTTACAATTTCAGTTCTACAAAGAAAATAGAACAGATGGATGGCTAGATATGGCAAGTATTTTTATTATATAACAGCGATTAATTTTAGAAAATTTTCATTTTTGTTTCATTCTTAAAGATTTATATAAGCCAATCACATAACATTATTTCGTTTATGTTGACTTTTTAGCTAAAGGAAAGAAAGAATGAACCTATCATGGATCCACTAAAGAGTGAAATGCTATTAATTCTTCCTTACACATACGAGCCCGAGGAATTTAAGAATATTGCAAAGCTTTCTGTGGTAAGTTCAAATCACTTAAAATTGATTATAGAATGCTATGATGAATTCAATATGTTCCATGCGGTTTAAATATTGCCCTTCTGTCCGCAATATGAATATAGACATCTTAATATTTAATGCAACTACTGTTAGTAGCATGTCTTAAGTGTTAACTTATATGTGTAAACTTTAGAAGGTCACTTGAAGTTATAATACAGAGAAGGACACTTTAATTTAAAATAATAATTTTGTGTATCGCAGTAAAACATGTTGTTTTTAAAGGAATCTGACTTATTATTAAGCTCAATAGGTATGCTTTAAAATTATTTTTATATCTTCGTGCCTAAACTCCTTTAATGACCAGCATCTACTTTATATAAACACAAGAAATAACTCTTAAATTAAATTATATTGGAGAAAATGAAAAATTACTGGATGAGACAAGACAATATGCCATCTAATAGATTCCCCCCTTAGATATAGCAATTGAGATAAATAAGATCGATTTTAATACATCGATGAAGTTTTTAAGGTTATTTTCCTATTTTCATTTTTCATTTTAAGCCAACTACTCCAAATAAAATTGAAAGACGTCTGAAATGGATTTTTACGCCTCGCTTCGATGTCAACGACATTGTGCACTACAATACAGTTACAGGCGAGCTTTTTTTTCTTGCTACGGGACCTGATCCAAAAGAAATGCATCTTTTTTGGTAATTTTTTACATTAAAAAGGCACTCATATTTTCATTAAATTGTTGTTTTCTTTCAAGAATATGCTATTTTACCGATCTTCTTGTGAATCCAATAAATTATTCTATTTGAAATATATTATAACATTTGACGTT